AGCCTTGACCAAAAATATTAGTCATTTTATATTTACCATTATTCAAAATTTTAGCTAAAAAATTGATTTATGGAATTTGCTATAATAAATTATCTTCTGTTTCAAAAAAGAATCCTTTAAATTTATATATATAATACCGATAAATAACAATACAAGAATTTTAGATTAATGAAAACAAATATACCTCTCTGTTATTTTTGGTCAAGACTATTTAGCATCGAAAATGATTATAATTCATAATGAAATATATAATGATTATAAACTCATAGAATTATAGTGATTTTCGATGCAACTATATATTTTTTAGTAGAACTATATACAACTATTATCAGTAACAATATAGAGCAATAATAACTATAAATAAATATTTTATCTTACAATTATAATCACAAATACCAAATCGTTTTCTCTCAGTATGGAATAAAACCATCTGAGATGAATAAAATATCGGAACCACACAATAGACAGATAGACGAAAGCGAAAAAGAAAAGAGTTTAGTCACCTGAAAGATTCTTTATTGCAGCTACTACAAATTTGAAAGCAGCTGGTGAATGTCACTGTAATAAAATAAAGTTTGTTCGCGCGATTCTTTGTAGAATGGAAATTTCGTCTTTTATGCTGCATCTTATATTTCCCTCGAATCAAACATTATTATACATATTTAAGATGCCTGATAAGAACTTATCAACTGTAACAAGATAGAATTGCGTCTAGTAGCGGTAACTTTGCGGAACTGTAGAGCAAAAATTCAGAACGGAAGAAAAAGGGAAAAGAATCTTCTTGATATTGACTGAAACTTACTTACAATATTGTGGATGCTTCTTTATTTAAAATTTATGCTTTTTATCTGTATGCTTCAATCGGAATCTTTGTTTGTTGTAACAAAAAAATTTCACAATGAAATTTCAAGCAGAAATTAAATAGTTTCTGAAAACGACATGACAAAAGTAACTCGGTAAAATTCGTTAACTTATTAAAATTCTACGTCCCAAAAATAGTACTCTATTATACGGGGCATAATTTCTTTCTTTTCTTTTTCTCTCTGGACATTAATAGATTATCTGCATCTTACATCTCTCTCTCTCTCTCTCTCTCTCTCTCTCTCTCTCTCTCTCTCTTCTCATCTCATCTCATATGAAAATTTTTATAGTTGAAGAAAGGTACCATTTATATCAATGCTATTAACTCGCAGAATAAGAGAAATTTCCGTAAAGTAAAAGCGCTGTCTTCTCCCTTAATTTTTTATAGAGTACCAAGCATTTTAATTTGTAAAAATTGTATTATAATGTAAGGTATAATAACGGAAACAATGATGTATTAACAGCATTAACTAACAACAGTCTAATTAAGATTTCTTGTTATAACGATATTAATGAAATAAATACTCCATGCCGTTGTTTTAATAAAATGTTATTTATTTCGTTAAATTGAACAGTGTATAAACAAGATTATTTTCAGTTACATTGCTGTTGGCTAATCCTGTTAACACACCACGCTTTCGTTTTAATAAAATGTTATTTATTTTATTAGTGCTGTTATTTAATAATATATAAACAAGATTATTTCCAATTATACTGCAGTCGGCTAATGTTTTTAATACATCTTTTTCAAGTGTACAAAATGATTGTTTTTTTTTCTTCCTTTAATAACGTTGAAGTCTCGAGTCTTTTCGATCTTTTTCTTAGTTAGACGTGCAATGTAGAATTGTAATTACCGTGTTGTATAATACGTGACTTCATCGCCATGCTGCGGGTCCAGCGCGGATCTGTCAGCAGCTGCGCAGGAATTAGCTCGTTTGGGGATGGCTGACGGATACGAAATAGATTGTAACGTCGCGCGAACAACACCATTTATTTTGGCGGTGGTCGAATTATGCAGATTACTCGGCGCCAGCGTCGAATCGTTCAAATCCTCGACGTGGTCCTCAATGTTCCGATAAACGTGTTCCCGCATTCGCGCGTGTTCGTGGTTTATTTTTTCAAATATTACCGAATGTTAACCCGATCCACGAACTCAATCCTCGTCTGCAACGATCGATACACGTTGGTTTCTCGATTATACTTGTTTACGTGCTCGCAAATTTTTGTCCCGTTCGCGCCGTTAATGTAGTGGAACGGAAAACATTGGGTGAAATGGAGCAAAAGTACACTCACGTACATGCTTTTTTTCTCGCTTATTTAAGCAAATGCTTGTAAAAACGAAAGTTACATAAAATGTTTGAAAATATGAATAAAGTAAACAGATTATACAACAATTTTTCATATATTTGAAAATGAAACGCTAGTTCTTGTATCGATAATATCTGCGTGATAAAAATAAAAAGACTACTCGCATTCATAAATTGTAAAATGTACTTTTATGGCATTTCCTACTTTTTATCAAAGAAAACATTTGTTTCATCATCATCGTACACTGAAAGAAAAATCTTTGATATTTTTTATTATAATTACATCTCACCATAATTATGGTTATTACTGCTATAATAATATTATAATAATAACTGTGTATAGTTCTATTATATATGCATATATTTAATTTGTTATCAAAATCGTTACAATTTAGAAACGGTACATTTTTAAGGATTGATTATACGAAAATAATAAAAATGACATTTGATCATATATATTTCTAAGAATATATTCTTTTTGCTGATATCATTTAATCAGTTAATAATTTTCTGTTAAGTTGAAAAATAGTTTTCCTCTTTCCTGAAAAACTTTTTTTGAATTGTGTTACTTTTAAAGCGAAGGAACGGTAGTTTTTATTACGAGTAGATATACTAATATTATAGCAGTAATAATTATGATAATATGTAATATTATAGTTATAAATATCATAAATACTGTTCTCTCAATTTATGATTCACTTCAATACAATCTTACACTCTTAAAAATAATTTAATGTATTGATTAATAATGTCAATACATTAAATTATTTTTAAGAGCATAAGATTATGATGAAGTAGCAGTTTTAATATTCATTAAACCGACATTGTAAATGAAAGAATTACGCGACGGCCATTTCTGAGGGCCATGAATTAATAGGAAGTGCTACGCGCGCGAGAAGTTGTAATTAAGCGTTCTCACGAAGCAGAGTACGAAAAGCTGAGAATCAGCCTCGGCAAAAAACTCTCTTAAAAGTTGAGGAGAAAGATGCCGCGCGGTACTTTTTTACGCGGGGAAAACTCTGTATACAAGGACATTACTCCGGATCGCAGGGTGTATAAAGTTCATTCGCTCTCGCGCCCACTCTCCTGCGCTTTTGTGCGAATATTGCCGTGTACTTCCCTCTTATTATGACGCGTCTAGCATGATAAAGGGGTTCCGACGACCGCCTAGAAGGCTGGAAAGCATTTACGCCGTGGAACCGCTTTACCGGAATGCGGGGAAGATTTCTCGCGTTCGACGTGGAGTGCCCGACAAACGCATAGCGCGATAGCTGTATTTAATATCAACGTGACTCCTGTCCCTTCAATAAGGAACTATTGTACACTCAAAACGGTCAGTCAGATTTTTTTATTGAACTTGCTCGGTTTACTGAAGAAAGAACTGAGAGAAGTTGAGGGAAAAACTCAATGTCTAGATTAAGAATGAATTAATTTCTTTAATCAGAAGGCTGCCCTTTTCAGCCCCTCGGAGAGCTCAGGAGTGTTGGATCTGCATTTAAACGACTGAGAGAAATTCTTCTTTCTGTAATCAGGCCTTTCTCTATTCTACATGCGCAATTAAATCACATTTAATTAAAAAGGTTGTCGGATTTATTATTGCCATTTATTGTACAAGACTGCGACATTATCTTTTATTCCATCTTAAAAAAGCTTATATAAAAACAATTATTATAGAAGATAAGATCAACCTTTCAGTTTCTCGTTGCCTCTGAAAATCTAGTCATATTATTATCAAATCTTTTTGTAATAAGTCATGTAGGATAATTACTACACCAGTCGTTAAACCAAATGATTGTTGAAAAAAAATATTAAAATAATAAGATTTAAAAAATAAGTTGTAAATTGATATATTTTAATTTTGATAAAATAGGAATTTAAAACGTCTTTTATGGACAAATTTTGACTCTGTTTTATTATCTTTCTTTATAATATTCTACATTTATTTAATTACACATGTATCTTTACTAAAAATATATTTTTTTTTTCTTTTATAAGGAAAACTTGTACGCTAGTTTTTTACGAGTATGCTTAATTAATAATCGATGTACGGAAAAAAAAGATTTGTTACAGCAGCAAAAATTTATGTGTGGTAGCTAAATTCCAGTCGTAACATATGGATACCTAACGTCGTATCTGTGAGGTCTAATTTCTATTAGCTGTGAGGCCTAAATATTATCATTGTAAACAGATAAGTATTTTGCTATTATGTCGATCTATTGATCATTGCAGCAGTTTTCTGTGTAGCAGACAATTTAGTAGCAAGTACAGTTTCAGCAAACCATATTTAGCTGTGGTAGAGACAATTTTGTTTTACACGGACATATCTGATAACTATGACAACTAACCTCATGCTGCTAAATAAATTGATGTAACAGACACATGCATACTTTGCTATCACGTCCTTATATTGGCTACAGCAGCAAATCCTTTGTATGTATTAGCAAATTTCAGCTACAGTAGCTAATGCAATTTCAGCTAATCAGAATTAGTTGTAGCGCGCTAGCAACATTTTTTTTCCGTGTGTGTACGATTATTAATTTTTGCTCACTTATTTACTAGCGTTATATAATGGGGTTTTTTTTACTTTTAAAATCAAGTCTATTATTTTTTATTTTTTTTCAAGATAATATATGACATTTTTAAATAAACATCATTATTGAGTGATTTGTTCTTTTTTTGTACACGTACTATAATTCTCGACAAACATCGTGAATTTCTTCATATTTGTTCATTGACTAAATGCAGTGAATATATGAGAGCCTCATCCTAATATGACAACTTAATCTGCTCATCCGACAACTTATTCGTTTATGTCTTATGATTTTTCTTCAGGTGATGGAAACGTCAGCTTCGAGGAATTCGTCGAGATCGTTAGCAATATCGGCGGCGCGAGCACAGCAGCGCCCACAGATCAACATCAGGAAGAGCAAGAATTGCGAGACGCCTTTCGGGTGAGTGAAATAAACGATCCCTCGTCGCTGTTTCATTTGAATTTACGAATCGCACGGTTGATAGCTTCTTTGCCCTTTTGAATCGGTCCACGCGATCGTCCGATAAATCTCTATCTCCTGCTTCATGTATAAAGCGAAGCGCTCGGGTATCAAACGTAGAGCATATTTTCTCTCGGGATCCAGGCAATTTTCGGCTGGATTACCGTGGCCGTTCTCAGTCAACTTTCTTTTCTGAAGGAAGCAAGAGGATTTGCTCTTGGCGTTCTTAAACGAGTCAATAGAGCCGGTTTCTTTAGATAGAGACTAACGCGAGACGACAACCACTTTATAAACTACACCTTGGCGGCTCCTTAAAATACGATGCTGTTCACGAAACGCAAAAGTTTGTAATGATCGCGACATGTACCATGAATACTTGAGTGTTCTATGCATATTTTATGCATCATATTAATAAGTTTTCTGCTACACGCTACGGGTGTTTTAACGGTTAAGTAGCTGGAGTTAATCCGTTCTGACTGTCGAATGTGTATCCCTTAATCTTTACTTTCCGTTTAGGATTCACTCTCGCATTTCTGGAATGTCAGAACCGTCGAATTATTCGCATAATCTTTCAAATTAGCTGCGGCCTGCTGGTGGGACACGCTGCCTCGCGCATAATAATAAATTTCTTAAATTCTGAACGTTTTGAGAGATATTCAGCTTCGGGATTATTGATTATACCTCGGTTGTTTTGAAGTATAATTATAAGTTGTTTTTGTGTATAATTAAAGGATTAAATATTTAGGAAATAAACAAACAATTTAACTTTAAAATATTTACTGTATAGTAATTTTCTCCTTGATATACGCACGCACACACGCGCGCGCGCGCACACACACACACACACATAGTGAGTATAAAAACAAAATTTTAGATTTTGATTAATATTTTGAAGACATTTAAAAAACAAATAAAAATCTCTGTACTGAGAAAAATGTCCGTTCAAAAAGTAACAAACGGATATTTCCGATTGATTTTGATCGGATTTATAAGACTATCCGATCAAATTTTAGGACTAAAAAAAAAACGATAAATTTGATCGGATAGTCTTATAAATCCGATCAAAATCAATCGGAAATATCCGTTTGTTACTTTTTGAACGGATAAAACGTTCGAAATTTTTCTCTGTGTGGGATTTGGTTTCTGAGGAAATATTATATTTACTAACATATTTACTACATATTTGTCTTGTAATATTTTACACTTACCTTTTTTTATGGTAATAATCACAAAAATGGAAAAAATATTATTTAAAGTATTAAGCATTATTTTCTTATTTGTAAACTTTTACAAATTGTTATTATCAAAAGCAAATGTTAAACTGTTATATTTCCCATTTTTTATTTGATTCTTACCTGAACAAAATTTATAATATAACTATTAATAGAGAACAACTTGGCACTATAACTCAAATTTTAAAAAATAAACTTATTTGATTTTTTTAGGAAAGTAAGAAACAATCCTTCAATTGTTACATTCTTATTAAAGCTTTTTTATTATTAATCTATTTTTTATTTTATACACTTTATATATTTTATTCACCACGGTAACGCCAATATGTAATATGAGATTTTACGTTTCACATATAAGTTATATAAATTGTATAACGTGAGATGCCCGGAATCAGCTTGAGAATAATAAATAAGTAATAGCTAAATAAATAAGCAAACAGATCTGATTTATATGAGAAATGTGATTTACGAGAGCCATGAAATAGGGATCAGAAAACCTGAGCTCAATGGTTCCTGCGGTGAGTGCAATCCTCGATCTTTCTATAATAAAATAAATTTCGATCCCGTCCTCGTTCCTCATTGAAATTTCCGACACGTTTTTAGGAATGTAAAAAATATATAAAACTCGACGACATCGATTCCATAATACCCGCAGTACGCACATGTATAAAGTGATTACTTACTTAAATAAGTAAATATATATAGTATGATGTGTGTGTATGTGTGTGTGTGCGCGCGCGCGCGCGTGCGAACACAGAATCAAAACTTTGCTTGTTACTTTTATCGCTTGTTGTCTTGCATCGTAAAATACGTGCATATGTATGTTTATATACGTATGTATTAGCGAACTAACAGCTCGATGAATGACTCGAGTAGAAATCGTATACATGTTTTAGTTGTTTCCGTTGAAGTTGCTCTATGTAAAGAATTTCATTTATTGCTATAGAAAAATGTTTGGCAAAGAATTATTTGATTTATTTCGTTTTTTATTTCCGCTGTGTATCTTGGGTCATTTATGCTATTTCAACCAGCCCTGTCGATATTGAATGATACTATATACTGTTAGATATCAAAGAAGCAATAGTTCGTTTTTTTTATTTTTCATTTTGTTATTTTTAATTGCCATGTCTGTTAAAATATAAATCAATCAATTTCTGTGTTTGAAATGTTTAGTTTCAAAGTAAACAATATCCATATTACGTATGTACTTAAATAACAAACTTAAATAATAAACAATAAATTTGATTCAAATTTAATATTTTTTTATTTAAATTGTTTAACTCCATCGTTTTAATTAAGCATTATTAAAATCTTTATAAGATGTCTATAAGCATCAAGTTATTAAATTGCAATTTTAATTTGTGATGTTACTACTGTAGTTCAATCAGGTTTGCGTTTTAATATTGAAAAATCAATTCGGCGCGCAGCTTAAATGACTACATAAGTAGTATATAAATTCACAGTATTACTTAAACATTTAAGGTCCAGTTTGACCGTTAAAAACTTTTTTTGCCCTTCTTGTTTTAATTAAATTAATATATTGAGTAGTAGCAGTGGCAACTTATAGAAATGATTAAAAATTAACAATAAATTGAATATAATTTAATATTGATGATGAATTTAATAGTGCGATATTGCTATTGACATGTAAATTTTACATCCGAGGAAATAGATCTTTATATAACACAAGATTTTTATACACTGCACATTTTTGATATGACAAAATATTTATAATCTAAACCTTTATAAACATAAATAACTTAATTTAATGTAACGCTTTCTTTTTAAGTTAAAATTGCTTTGTAATTAAAAAAAATTTTAATAATGTCACCACTTACTTGTGTATTTTAAGAGTTAACCAATTTTTGAGCTTTTAGCATAGAAAGTATCAGCAATATTTGTCGGCTGCCACCTCATTAATACCGAACTTTTCGCCAAACCGAGAAGTTCGCGATCAGACTATTTAACTAAGAAGTAACTTGCATAAAATTATTGTTAAGACTCTGATGTCTCGTAGCATCTTTTATTTGGTCTGAGAGAGATGAAACGATGCTTTTTTTCAGGATATTGGAGACTAGTTTTGTATTATTGAATCTTTCTTCCGATAATAGAGAATCTTCTTGAACGTTATTTACACTAATAAAGATAAAAAATAAAATGTTCTTTATGTTCCGTCTAAAAAATGCAACCATGCTCGAGTGAAATTTTATTCAGAGAATATTCTTTAAAGTGAAGCCTTTTGGAAACTGACTGTTTAACAATTCCACCCACATAATCACAAGAACCTTTCTCATGTAATGTGATACCAAAAAAATTTCACTCAACTTTAATATTAAAATCTATACGAAAGAAATCATAACGTAGAGATTCTTTTTATACAAAAGAAATCATAACGTAGAGATAAAAACTTTTAAAAAATTTTTAACTCTCTTGAAGCACGTAGATAAGTAAGTGATGATATTATCAAATTAAAAAAAAAATTTTTTTTTAATTACGTATCAACCAAACTGAAATGGCATAGAATGACTGACTTTCCTGCGTATTGTTCAATCAAATAACATAAAAGAGATTAATATCTTAGAATAAGAACATTCTTTCATCGGAAAGCTATATGCGAAATATTCTTGAAAAATTAGACAATTAATAGATGTCCTATTCGCTTAATCTAGGTAATATTAGTACGATACATAAAGACATACATACATATAGCCAGGATCATAAGCTGATTTTATGGACGTAAAACGCTAGAAGATAAAAGGATCACGGAGCGTTTGCGTTTTCTTGTTTGTTGTCGGCAAAGGTATTTTTGTATGAATAATGCATCTTGCCTGTCGTATACGCGTGCCTTTATGTCAAACCGGAGATAAACCAGGATCAGCGCGAAATACTCCGTTTAATGCAACACGGCTTCCTATAGACAGTTGCCACAGGAATAGGGTAATCATATCTGAATCGCAAGATAAAAGTTACATATGTACACTTTTTTAAAACAGATAATTATCTGGGGAAGGAAGGAGTAATTATAATTTTGCACGGAAAGAACGGTTTTGAAGAAATATTAAAAAATTTTTAACTAGATATAAGTCTAAAAATAATTGGATCAAAATAATTATGTAAGATGTTCAAGCTGGTCGCTAGAATATCAAAACTTTTGCAGTATTGCTCATTATCTTATATAACTGTTTTGATACTCTAACAAAATCTTTTTCAGATCTGTATTTAGTTAAACTTTTAGATATTTTTGTAAAATTGATTTTTCCGTGTAGGATTTCTTATATTAATAAGAATTGTCAGTACAAATTATGTTCTAAAAATTTTATTTTATTAAATAAAGTTTCTAAAACATAATTTTTATTATTTCGCCATTTTGGATTTTAAAATTTGGAAATCTTGATCTTAGAATTCAATGATCAACAAGCCCCTTATAAAACATCAAAAGATATTCGAATTATTTATTTGGATGTACAGTATCGATTTTTCCATATTTTTTAAAAATTCAAATCAATTTTTAATAAAAAAAAAAAAAAACAATGTAACGGAAAAATCTGAAAAAATTTTGAAAAATCCTTTAGAATATCCTGAATGAGTGCCTAAATTGCCATTTTAGTATTGCTAATAGTTTAGTAGAAAATTCAATTTTTTTTAAGTACAAATTTTGATTATTTGTTTATAGTTATAGATAGTAATTATGCAAATAAAAACGTATATTGCTTATTTTTTTCTAACACT